ATGTTACTCTAGCACAACATAGATTATAAAAATTGATAAAAATTATTTTATCTTTATATATGTATATTAATCATATCTAAAATATAAAAGATTAACTGAAAAAGACTGAGAAATAACCATTAAACACATTCTGTGTAAAAGTTTACCTCCTATATATTTGAAGTTACTTTTTTGAGAAGATGCTAAAAGAGTTTCGTATTTAAGATTGTCATTCTTTTTTGTTTATTTTTATTTTTTACTTTCTTCTAAAAAAATTCAATAATAAATAAATATAATTTCCAAACAAGTTTTATACATTTACTATCTTCTTTATAAATTGATTTTAATTTGAATAAGGAATTTTCATTCTCTTTTGAAATCACGTGGATGTTAAGAGAATGTTTCTTCAATTAAGTCAAGGCAAGCTATCAACATGTAACTTTAACCTTTCCTTTAAAAATCATACATGTTCACATACACGTTGTGCATGCATTTTGCATATGTCTTTTTTTTCTTTTTAATTTTAATATGTAACTAAAGATAAAGATTTAGGCTGCCAAAGGTCGATCGGTGGGTGTATGTAGTTTTTAATAACCACTTGACCAAACGTTTGCTATTAAAAAAAATATAAACTATGTTACACATGTCAAAGTATTGATTGAGTCATGATAATGCTTATCCTTTCTTACAAGTTGAATAGCATGTTAGTGTATATATATATATATATATTTGTAAATATTAAGTAATGCTATTTACATTTCATAATCTCACAATAAATTCAATAACAAAGAGTGATATATGATCCAAAAGATGAGTCCTAAAATTAGGGTGTGATGTTTTTGACATATAATTTTATAAGATACATAACTAAATGATATATAAAGAAGTAAATTTTTGAATGCTAGAATTTTTTTCTAACTTAATTTGTATTATAACTTGAAATAACTCTTTTATACCTTGAAATAATTCTTCTAACTTGGTTGTTGGAGTATTTTATATGAGATTACTCAATACTAAAATACTAGAGAGATTGACAAATCCCTTTCACTAATCGTCTTATATTGATAAATAAAATGAATAATACAATAAAAAATTTTAAATATTATTATGAAAATATGAAGTAAAATTAACAATATTTCTTAAAATATTACACTTTCAACTAGTTCTTTGTATAAAATATTAGATTATTTTATTTGATTAATTATCATCGTCGATCACTGTGGTAGCCTCTAAAGAGTCTGCTATTACTATTCAATTGGCTTCTAAAAAACAGTTTGGTTGATTTCTCGTAAAAAAAAAAAAAATCATTGTATCAAAATTGAAACAAAAAACATCGTAAAAATCACAATGGGGATTGAGAGTACTTGTAGACAAACAGACTAGCGTATTTGGTGCAAACAACTTAACTCTTTAAAGTTGTATTTGATAGAAAATATAAAAATAATAATGAGAGATATTTAAAGTAAAAGTGTGAGAAGAATTATGAATGATAAATATAAAAAAAAATTTAAGTATAATAGTAAGAATTTTAAATTTTCTCTAAAGATATGTCATTTAATTTTTTTATTTTATATAAAAATTATTTAGTTAAAATTATGTAATATTTTAAAAAAATTACTATCCAAATACATAAATTATAAGAATTTTAAAATATCTTGCTAAAACACAACCTAAATATTTACTGTCATTTCCCAATTTTTTTGTGTGAGACACTTCTTGCAGTCCTTCTATTTTTTTATTCTAGGCTCTTGTAAAATTAAATTCACGTCGTCTTAGATCTTAGAACTTGTTTGTTTTTGTTTTGGTTTTTAATATTTAAAAATTATATTTTAAAAAATTTTAAGAAAAAATTTAAAATAAAATTTGTTTGTTAGTTTTGTTTTTAAATTTTTTTTAAGATGATAAATTCAAAAAACTTGTTTAATAATTTTTTTAAAACAAATTTTAAAGGCTAAAAAATGTGTTTAGTTTTATTTATTTTTTATTTAGTATTTTAAATTAAATGTATAATAATTAATTTTAGTATTTTTTTTATTTACTTAAATATAAATTTTATATTTAAAATAACATATTAAAACATAAAAATCTAATTAATATTGACTGAGAAATATTCTTGTTTATAAAGTAATACTTGAAATTTATACGAAGTTTGATAAAAATATAAAAAATAAATTAATATTAATAAAAAATAATGATTAATTTTAAAATTAAAATTATTTTTAATAAATAAATATAAATAGTACGAAGAGATAATATCACACACAAAAAAATGAATAACACTGATATACTAAAATAAGTGAATATGTCTGTTAAAAATATTTTTAATTATTTTAAAAAGAGAAATAAAAAATTAAAACTAAAACGCTTTAGAGGTTATTTTTTAATTTAAAAAACTAAAAATAAAAAAATTATTTTTAAAACCTTAAATTTGACAAACAAATTTTTATTATTATTTTTAAAAAAAGAATAAACAATTACTTTCAATTAACATTGTCAATATAGTATGGCTAAAGTTTAGACATGTTATTGCCAGTCAATCTTGCTCAAGCTAAGAGTGTATTGAGAACACGTTTAAAAGAACGTATTGTTAATATTTTATATTAGTTAAATAAGGAACCGCAGTAGTCTTTGGTGTGACATGAGTGTAACGGAGACAATTTTTGTTGATGTTACATTTGTTTATTTTAAAAAATTAAAGATAAAAAAAAAAGAAATTATTGATAGAGAATTTTAAAAAGATAAATTTTTTATTACAGTATCTATTCAATAAACTATGATAAAAAGGCTTTTAAAAACATAATTTAATTAAATATTTATGTAGTAAGAACTTCTTGTTTTTTATATACGATCATAAATTTTTTAGAATAAATTAAAAAATATAATTTCAATAAAACATATTGAATAACTTATTAAAACAAATTTAAAAAGTTAGAAATTACTTTTATAAATTCTTTGAACGAGCTCCAATTTCTTCTCCTTTTGATATTGATGGAGTATAAAAATGGTATAAATTACAGCAGCTAACTCTACTTATTCGTGATGGTATTGCCAACATGAGTATCATAGGCTCATGAGATGCTGTTTTTGTTTTCTATTCTGTATACCAACGAAAGGGCCCACACCCATCGGTCTCATTGTTTATTAATAGCTGATATGATCATCAAACTGAAAGAGAAAGAATTCCACAAATATCACAACTCACAATTCATAACGTCGTGAGAATCCAAAGCCAAACAAGGTTTGAAGATGACCCTCAACTGCCGGATTAACACATCTTAACCATTTCTATTAGAGCACCAAAAAGTTTAAATGTTTACCAGAAAGCTTGACTTTACCCAATCAAACAAAAACATATCAGAGGCAAACAATCTCGGGTTTCTTGGTTTCACTTCAATAACTGGCCAAGTTTCAATGTTCTGGACCATTTGCAATGAATGAAAATTAATACCAATCCCCAAAACAATGAGAAACTCTACGGAAACAAGGAATGGCTGTTAGGTTATTGATGGAAAGCGTAAGGGCAATCACCCAATGTTTATAATGTATATTAAATAAAGTGAAATTATATTTATGGGCTTCTCTAAGTTATTTCATGGAATAAATAATCGTATTTTTAAGCATTATATAGATAAAAATTTATTAAATACTTTTATATAGACGCTCTCCGCTAATCATGTTTGATATTGATAATACCCATGTCAACTTTTTTCTTTTATTCAACATTTCCTATAACTTTCTCGTCATTCTTTTACTTTTGTTCGTCCTCTAAAATATTTTAAGCATATTTTAATATGCTAACATTAAAAGACATGCTCTCAAATATTCTACTTATGAAAGGGAGAGAAATATGAAAGATGTACGAAGTTGAGTATAAAATAAATTAGTGTTTGACTAAAATAATAAAGGAGTACCTTCGCATATATAAATACAAAAGAAAAGAAAAGTGAAGAGAGTTGGAAAATTTGCATTTCGCTGTGGCAATGATGAGAATACGGAACACAGGTGGGCGCAGGATAAGCACGTGGGAGTTGCCTTTAGAATTGCACGCTGCCAATGGCATGTCTCCATAGTTGCAAAAAAAATAATCCTTTATGGCTCTAAAATCACATTCTTCATTCTTCTTCCAAATACGAAAGGAAGATTTGGTGGAAATAAAAATTTCTTAGTTTTCCTAATACGGTTCGAATTTTTCGATGAATGATTGGCAGTTTCTGTATTGGGAGTGTATCCACATGCCTTCACCTTTGGTTGTAGTAAATAAAGCTCATTCCTCTGAATCCATTCTTTATTTAATTTTATTTGACCATTTCTTTTTCTTTACACTGATATTTTATTGTATAAATAACTTTATTCAAATTAAATTAAATTAAATTATTATATGATAACATTATTATTACTATAAATTTTTTAGTTATATTTATTAAGACTCAAACTCAAAATACGCTAAATTTCATCTTAATTAATACACATATTTGGTAATTAATTTAAGTATTTTTAACGGTAGTATGATTTATTTTTTATTTATATCCTTAATTCATAATTTTTATAACTGATTTTAAATAATTATAAGTGAATTTTTTAAAAAATATTATATTAAAAATATAAAAAGGATAATTTTTTAAGAAAAAATCTCTGTTTTAATTGCTTATAACAAATAACTGTAAATACTGATATTAATACTTTATATAATCAGAATATTTTTTGTTAAGCATAATGTTTGGTTGTTGATATACTTGGCTACTCGTGCAGTTTATTTATTTTATTACAATAACAACAGAATCTTACCACTTTATTCACTTTACTATGTGCCTCTATAATCTATATGATTAACTGGGTTGAGGGGTGACAAGGGTGAGCCTGAACTTGATGAGATTGCACTACCCTTTGATGTTCTTTATTTAAAAATTGTCGAAATCACTCATGGGGTATAACTATTTGACTGAAAGGACATAACTTAGGCGTGTTTGATCTTCAGCGTTTCTTTCAAACCATTTATGTCGTCTATCTTTACTATTTAAACTACTATATATTATTTTGTTCTCACAACAAACCTCTTGGTTTTCCTCTCCGCTTGGAACTTCTACATCTTCTCTCCTCCAAGGAAATTCTATCTTTATAATTATTCTTCCTCTTTTTATATTTCTGAGGCATCTGAAGTATTCTTGAAGGACTCTGACACCCTGTGAGGTCTGTTGGTTCAGTATTCAGTGTTACACTTGAGCTTATTCGGCAGCAAAATCTGTTCCTCTCAACTAAGAATTCTTATTTCTACATCTTGGTATTCGTGAATACCTTATTTCACTACCTGTTGGATGCACTTCTTCTGTGTTCTTTTACACTGAATTATGCAAGTAGCCAGTGAGTGTAGCACATGATTTAGAGGACAAGAAATTGACAACCATGAAGTTCATGAAACTAGGATCTCGTCCTGATACATTCTACACTACAGAAGCAGTGAGGCAAGACATATCAACTAGTCAATTTGATTCTTTCTTCTTAGGTGATGTATTTATTTCCTTTTGGTCAGTTACAATAGTATGATACCTTTTCTTTGTATGCAGGTCAGTTTCTTCTGAGGTTTCCAGTGACCTCATAATTCAAGTGAAGGGAAGTAGATATCTTCTTCACAAGGTATATATAATTACATACCCCTTTGATGCTTGTTAAATTGAGGATGTGAAATTGAGAATTATGGAAATTCTTCCAAGTTAATGACCATTAACAAGATTAGTTCTTTACTTTACCTTTTTGTTGTTACTCATACGTAAATTATCTGATGCTGTTCAGTTTCCACTGCTGTCAAAATGTTTGCACCTGCAAAGGTTATGCTCAGAATCTCCTGATTCTTCTTCTCAGCACCAAATAGTTCAACTCCCTGATTTTCCTGGTGGGGTGGAGGCATTTGAGTTGTGTGCTAAGTTCTGCTATGGAATCACCATAACTCTCAGCCCTTACAACATTGTAGCTGCAAGATGTGCTGCTGAGTACCTGCAAATGACTGAGGAGGTTGAGAAGGGGAACTTGATTCACAAGCTTGAGGTTTTCTTCAATTCATGCATTCTACGTGGTTGGAAGGATTCTATTGTGAGTCTTCAGACCACAAAAGCATTGCCTTTGTGGTCAGAGGACTTGGGAATTACCAGCAGATGCATTGAAGCTGTTGCCTCAAAGGTCTTGACCCACCCCTCTAAGGTGAGTTTGTCACATAGTCATTCCAGAAGGGTGAGGGATGATGATGTCTCTTGCAATGGAACTGAAAACACAAGACATAAATCAGGATGGTGGGCTGAAGATTTAGCAGAACTGAGCATAGACCTCTATTGGAGAACCATGATAGCAATCAAATCTGGTGGCAAGATACCTGTAGATCTCATAGGAGATGCATTAAAAATTTATGCATGTAGGTGGTTACCAAATATTACCAAGAATGGACATCTCAAGAAGCAAGGTGCTTGTAAATCAGACTTGGACTCAGCTAGTGAAATAACTACAAAACATCGTTTGCTTTTGGAATCAATAGTAAGCTTGCTTCCAGCAGAGAAAGGTGCTGTTTCTTGTAGCTTTCTATTGAAACTTTTAAAGGCATCCAATATTCTTAATGCTTCTTCCTCTTCAAAGATGGAATTAGCCAGAAGGGTAGGACTCCAGTTGGAGGAAGCCACAGTGAATGATCTTTTAATACCCTCATTATCTTACACAAATGATACAGTATATGATGTTGAGTTGGTGATGACCATATTGGAACAGTTTATGTCACAAGGGCAAAGTCCCCCAACTAGCCCCGCAAGATCCAGGATGGCCTTTGAAAGAAGGAGGTCTCGTTCAGCAGAGAATATTAACTTTGAATTGCAGGAAAGTAGGAGGTCTTCTTCAGCATCTCATGGTTCAAAATTGAAAGTGGCAAAGCTTGTGGATAGGTACCTTCAAGAAGTTGCTAGAGATATGAATTTCCACTTGTCGAAATTCATTGCTCTTGCTGAAATTATACCAGATTTTGCAAGGCATGATCATGATGATCTCTACAGAGCTATTGACATTTATCTCAAGGTAAAATATTTTAAGAAAAATGGCTTCTTTTTTTTCCAATTTACTGCATTTTATACCCTGATAAAAATAAGTACTAAGGAAGTAAGAAAAAACAGTGACCGAGTATATTTCACTTTCACATTTTAGTATGTGGGACAGAATTAGTGGATAACCAACTCTCTTGACCTTGAAATCTTGTCTTATTCTACATTTATTGGCGGTTAGGTGTAGACTGACCCACCAGAAATTTAGCCTGGCTGCATTCACATCATTCTGAGTTCTGACTGATGGTTGCAGTATGTATTCAGGAGTTAGTAATTTCATTTGAATAAAAATATGGAGAGAAAATTGCCTACAAAAGCGGTGATAGAGTTATATCGTAGTGTTCGTCAGTACTATGTCCAAGTAGATGGGGAGAGGGGGAAAAGGAGACACATGTTCTTTAGTCCTTCACATGATTGAGTGTCTCCCCTATTTTCCATAACAGATTTTGACCATTTACGAGGTCATTCCATTTAGCTAAATTCCGCCTCAAAGAACTCCTTACTGATGTAACATGTCTGGCTGTCAGTTTAGTCAATCTAGTACTACTAGAAATTAGGCCATAGAAGAAAGAAAAAATATGCATACGTAAAAATGGTTTGTGGGTATGTTTTGTATTACTGAAATTTGTGTTGTAACTGGTAAAAATATAGGCTCATCCAGAACTCAACAAGAGTGAAAGGAAAAGGTTATGTAGGATTCTTGACTGCAAAAAACTGTCTATGGAAGCCTGCATGCATGCAGCACAAAATGAGCTACTTCCTCTAAGGGTTGTTGTCCAAGTTCTCTTCTTTGAGCAAGCAAGAGCAGCAGCAGCAGCTGGTGGTAAAGTGACTGATTTACCAAGCAATATCAAGGCATTACTCACTGCAAATGGTATTGACCCATCAAAACATGCAGCACCATTGAGCACTACTACAAGTATACATGCTGAGGACAATTGGAGTGTTTCTGGCTTCAAGTCACCAAAGTCCAGGTCTTCAACTCTAAGGATGAAGCTAGCTGAGGATGATGACTTGGATCAAAATGGTTTACACCAAGATGGAATTGGAAGAAACTCTAGATTTAAGACCATATGTGCTATTCCAACCCAACCTAAAAGAATGCTTAGTAAGTTGTGGTCTACCAATAGAACTGTCACTGAAAAGAATTGAGTGAATTCTGTTAATTTTCCAGTTGGTAATGGTAATTTAGAGGGTAACATATACTCTATTTTTCTTTATGCGAAACGCCTTGTAACTTCTAGGAAAATCCAAAAATCTAAATGTGCATTGTTGATGTAACTTATAATAATAAGAAAAGATTTTCTCAGCACGAGGGGAAATCTCTTTGGTAATTCTCAGGTCAAAAGCTGGAATAGGAATCTTAGGTGTCAGTGACAAATCGTGGGGCCATAGTGCTTTGTTTGTCTACAAATCTGCAACACTTGTCTCTTTTCATTTGCTGTAGCTCCTTGAGTCCTAACATTGTCGACAAATTTTTTCGTATTTTCATGTGTCTGACATAATGCAATACTGTAATATCTTATTATATTTGTCTTATTTATTTGTGTCCACTCATATAATCTCTTCCTTACTTAATTGATATCCAATTATGAACAAGATTTGAAGTGTTGTGGCACATAATAACTAAAGTTCAACATGTATTCTTCCTTTTTATTTTCGTTGGAAGAGATTTGTCATTGATTCATTATGTTGTAAACAAATATTGTGCTATCATCGGTATCAAATATGATATGCAATACAAATCCGACCGAAAACTTAGTCAAATAAACAAGAAAGAATAGGATCTACCAGTGATAAGATATGTTCGCTTATAAGTAGCATTATTAAAACAAACAATTGAAAACTTATTGGTGTAATTGTGCATAACTCAGCAAGGTTCCTTTCAAGTAAACTCTTCGATAAACCTTTCATGTATCTGTATTAACTAACCTAAGCAAAAAGTACCATAAGGACAAATATAGGTGTTCCATTTAAAGCTAAATCTTCTCAGTGTAACTGAATAAATTTGTCTAACAATTATTGTGGCCCAGAAGTCATAATTTCTTGACTTTATTTAATTTCTCAAAATCAGGGGAGGGGGGGGTGTGCTCAGTTGACTTCTTAGTTTGAGTAGATCCATTGATGAAGGTCATTTTCACACTCTCCTATACTCAAATTGTTAATTATAACAAATTTGGTTTTGCACAATCGTTGGAATGAACCATGTCCCCATACCATCCTTTGTAGCTAAGTCCAATCGCTCAAACTGAACCGACCTTTCTCACAGTTTAGGTGGCTAGAACTACAAAATATGAACACTTTCAAGTTTCTTAAAATCCTAAAGCATATAACGAAAATCATATAGTGGCAGCTACTGTCATTATCGTCATTGCTGCAATCATAGTCATCATTCATCCAAGTTTCCTTGGTGTTGTGAGAGCATGTCCGCTATAACCGGTCAATGTTACTACTTAGTATGACTGTCATGGACATAATTTTGCACTGTTCCTTTGGACAGTTACTGTATTTTCATTGGCGATTTTGTTTCCTTCTTCAATGACTCAAACTACAAATTTAATTATTAGTCAAGAAAATCTTCACATCATTACATCAACAACCATGATGTAATATCGTTTTTTTGAATTATTTTTTTATTTGGGTTGCACTCTGTTTCACATTTGTTAATTAAAAAATGAAGATTTAATGATTTGGATCCTCACTAGCTCCCCTGTAAAAAAGAGACACTGGATAAGTGGGCCTCATTTGTACTATTCATCCGGATGAGTGGGCAAGTCACTTTAGAAAGTCTTGACAGGAGATTCAAAAGAAAAATAATGATAATTGACCCAAAAAGAAGAAAAAATCATGACGGGAAATTAAATGCAAGTTGATTCTAGAACATTTATGTCAAAAAAATAAAAGAAAAAAAAACACAACTGTGAAAGCCACCGGTTTGTCTTTTAAATTAATCATCCAAAATGGAATTGTGTTTCTCTATGCGATCGTGTTGTGAGAAGCCTTACTCATTACCATGTTGAGTGCGAGTGTTTGTTTCGATGCTTCAAAACATTGTGTCTTCCCAGTGGTTGCAGCTCACAAATCATAATCAGATTGTAAAATTCTGTCATCAGGGTACAATTTATAGGGGTTCCTCCAAAATAAAACCTGATAACAACAAAAATGTGCCAAATTTCATCTTCAACAACTTACTGATACTTCATCAATGATGCAAAGCCACCTAATGAACTTTGGAACACTCCCTGCCTATTATTTAATCCAACAAATTTTAACAGCTATTCAGAATCCAGTGAATAAATTGGTTTACATAAGATGCTACATAGCCTTCATCAATTATCAATAATACAATAAAAACATGCTGTATTGGTTCCGTTGCTTGTGATTTAGTGTTAAAACTTTGATGTAAACGGGTTAAAATACCCCTTATAATCTCATACATTCCTTTACTGATAAGCTTTGCTTATAAAAATAACAATAAAGACAGCATAAACGAGAGCAGAGTTCATAAAATATTAAAGTTGTAACAGCAGATTAATATTCACTTCATCAGAAGACCAATGGGTCTAAATTATCTAAATTCTAAACCCTGTTGGTATCAACCATGGAAGCATGAACCGAAGATGCCTGATCCACTGCTTTTGGTCCACCGAAGACTCAGAATGTGTGGTGGGAAAGTAGAGGCTACTTGAGTTGGTCATACTTGTTTGTCTGGTATCATATCATATGCATATTGGGATGGGTGTCAATTTGCAATTTAGTATCATATTATATGCACATTTCAATAGATAAGATGCCTTGTGATACAGCATCTGTTTATTGAGCATTCTATTTGGGACGATGACAAATAATAACACATAAAATAGAGAACAATTTACCCGATTGAAACTTGCGTCAATCACCACTAGACACTTGCTACTTATACTGCTTCACTGTCCAGGAAGAGGTAAATTTTGGAGAAAGAAAGAGAAGAGACTTGAACTCAGACGCATCAACCAACTGGGTCAGGGCCTCTATATATGTAGCGGATATTTAGGCCTTCTTGTTCCTCCCTTCCAAATTTATCATATATAGTGCTAGAGAGAATCATATTTCTGGTTCTTTAAACACACAGCATTAGAAATCGAAAATTTCTAGTGCAAGAAAATACAAATAAGAGTATCATTAATTAGTAATCGAAGATCTTAGCTAATTTAAAAGCATGTTCATCCTTTTGTGTCATTTCGATTGCACATCATTACTCTATCAAATCCTTCAGGTCTTGTAGCAAAATTTTCTTATATTCACTTCATCGATATATTTTTTATGTGGTTAAAGGTTGTTGCATATATTAAAAAGAAAACAACTTATTTTTATTAAGATTATATGTAATTTCTTAGTATAACTTTTACGTTGTATTACTTTGACATTTTATACAAAATAAAGGATATTTGTTTAGAAATAAAAAAAACAAAAAGTTTTTTGTTAAAACATAATTAATGAACTCTTACCATGATTTTTACACTCATAATTTTAAGACACGTCAGTAAGATAATTTTAAATTTATTAATGTATAGTACCATAAAGTTATTAATAATTTCCTGAAGAAATATATATTATCTTAAGAAATAAATAATGTTAAATATATAATATGCTTCCGCCATCTCATTATTCGCTCACTTTTGCCAACGCATTATTTTTAATTTCTATTTATTTTATTTACACTTTTCTTAACAAATTGGAAGCGGAACCATTTTCGTTTTTTTAGGTCCAAACCATTTAACTTCATACTCCTCTTTTTAGGCCCAAATCTTTATTCAATGTTTTTTGGTCTAGAAATATGTATTCAATTGAATCAATACATCAATCTTTCTTAATTGGTCAATTAATACGATAATCAGATTTTTGTTGTATTAGTAAAATAATCTAAAGCTGGTCCCATCTGTTATTTCTATTCTGGACCAACAACTAAGCCCATCAACTTCACAGCCCATCCATCTATTGTTTCGCAGTTCTCACCATCGATAGTTCAGCCCACATTTATTGACCAAAGAAAAAGGAAACAACCCACATTTTATGTAGCGTTCTCCAAATTTTGCATTGTTTTTTTTTAATAAACTTTTAACTAATTAATTTATTAATAATGGATCTACCAATAAATGTAAAATTAAGTTTCGTGTACAAATCAAATTAAGAATTGTGTATTGTTAGATTTATAAATAAAAAACTATTTGATTTTTATTTTAGTTATATTTTAATTACTCAAGTAAATATCCAAAATTGTTCTTAAGAATTTCAGTTATGAACACGTTAGTCCATGAAAATTAAAATTTCTTCTTCCATTCTTAAGAATCAGAAATATCAGTCACGTTACTCTTATTAAATATTAGTACGTCCAATGATCAATACTACTTTGACAAACATATATGATTTTTGGAATTAAAAAATAAATTTTGTATTTCTGAAGACTAACATATTGATTGCTAAATATTAAAAACAACAAGTTTAAATATTTAATGTGATGGCATTCTTAGCCAATGTCTTAAATATATTGTCAAAAAATCAATGTATAAAAAATATCAAAAGTTACCAGAAAGTGTAATGGTAATACTTTTTCTTAAAAAAATTAATCAATGGTCTAAAAGTGCTCGTTAACATCTACCATGATGTAACTTTTTAAAAACTAATTTTGTCACGATTCTATTAATGTCATGTCAAACTTCAATTCATAACACTTTGAATTACATAAAGGTAATTCAAGATTGATATTTTGTTTCTTTGTTTTTTTTTTTTTTCCAACATCGCTAATGAGTGTTTAAAACATTGGTTGAGAAAGAAAACAAAAATATTCAGAAAAAAGTAAACATATAACCTAATAAAATTCACAAAATATTAATACTTTATCTTTACCAAATATGTTGAATACTTCTTAATTAGTAATTTGAGTGTTAATTAGTAGAAGCCCCTTAAGAAAAACAGAAAAAATGTTTCATGAAAGACCGTGTGCTTTGTTTCACGAGAAGTACAGTGCTAGGACAATATTGGTAGCCATATGTGAAGCTCAGTTTACTGTACATTCAAAATATTCTATGATAGCTTGTACTTCAATTGACCAGCTTAGTAGTGTTACCATTTTTGTTATTTATGTATAAATTTCCGATGAATGATTCGCCATCGTCATATGATCAACCTATGGAAGAAATCTAAGCCAGATAAAGGATTAATCGATCAATTTTGCTAACTTCAACTTTCAATATCAAATTTAAATAATAATTTTGTATTCAAATACATTAAAAATATAAAAAATTAAAGTTAACATATTGTTTAATTAGGCGAGACCAGATCTCAAAGTGAACATTTCCTGTCATGTATTTTCTCTCTCATTATCAGTAGCTTGGCAACACATTCATTTTACGTAATCTCAAGAGTATACGAGTGTGAATATTAACTTATATTTACACATAATATAGTTTTTTATTTTAAATTGCCGCTAACTATTACGAACACTAAAAAATTCGTACAAGGCTTCTTTTCTGTAAACGCTGACTTCTTTGTTCATTCCACAAAGTAAAAATTTGCATAGCGTGGCCCGATCGTATTTCTGAAACGGTGAAACCCACGAGGGAGGAGAGGGCGAGCTATTATAGA